CTGTCCATCCATCTGTCCATCCATTCATCCATCCGTCCCTCCGTCCGTCCGTCCGTCCATTAGTCCATCCGTCCCTTCATCCGTCGCTCCATCCGTCCATCCGTCCATCTACCATCCATCCATCCCCCCATCCCCCCATCCCTCCATCTCTTCATTTGTCCCTCCGTCCGTCTGTCCATCCATCTGTCCATCCGTCCCTCCGTCTCTCCGTGCGTCCCTCCGTCTGTCCGTCCGTCCATCCCTTCATCAGTCCATCCGACCATCCGTCCATCGGTCCATCCATCCATCCATCCGTCCATCCATCCATCCGATCCATCCAACTCACCTTCCCATCCATCCAATCGAATCCATCCCATCCATCCCTTTCCATCCATCCCATCCATCCCATCCATCCCATCCATCCAATCCTGTCCATCCATCCATCCAATCCCGTGCATCCATCCATCCAATCCCAACCATCCATCCCATCCATCCCATTCAACCGATCCATCCCAGCCATCCAATCATGTCCATCCATCCATCCAATCCCATTCATCCATCCAATCCCATCCATCCATCCCACCTGTCCATCCCATCCATCCCATCCAATCCCATCCCATCCCATCCCATCCCATCCCATCCCATCCCATCCCATCCATCTATGTCGTCCTGCTCATCCCATCCATCCATCCCGTCCAGTCCACCCCGTCCCATCCATACCGTCCCGTCCATCCCATCCCATCCATCTCGTCCCGTCCCATCCCATCCTGTCCCATCCCATCCTGTCCCATCCCATCCATCCATCCGTCCTTCCATCCATCCCCTCCCATCTCATCCATCCATCCCCTTCCATCCCTTCCATCCATCCCCTCCCATTCACCCATCCATCCCCTCCCATCCACCTATCCATCCCATCCCATCCACCCATCCATCCCATCGCATCTGTCCTCCCATCCACCCATCCACCCATCCACCCATCCATCCCATCCATCCCCCCGTCCACCCGTCCACCCGTCCACCCATCCACCCATCCACCCATCCCAACCCCTCCCATCCATCCCATCCCATCCATTCATCCATCTCATTCCATCTCATCCAACCATCCATCCCATCCCGTCCACCCATCCAGTCCGTCCATCCATCCCATCCAGTCCATCCATCCCATCCCATCCTGTCCATCCTCCCATCCATCCCATCCATCCCATCCATCCCATCCATCCATCCAGCCATCCCTCCCTCCATCCATCCCATCCATCGCATCCATCCGTCCCATCCATCCCATCCGTCCCATCCGTCCATCCCATCCATCCCATCCATCCCATCCATCCCATCCATCCATCCATCCATCCATCCCATCCATCACATCCATCTGTCCCATCCGTCCCATCCATCCCATCCGTCCCATCCGTCCCATCCGTCCCATCCATCCATCCATCCATCCATCCATCCATCCC